ATGATGATGATGATGATGATGATGATGATGATGATGATGATGATGATGATAAAGAGTCATGTCTCTTTCCTGAAGGCAGTAAGGCTGATTGTCAGGGGCAGGTGGGATGCAAGAAATAAATTCACTGGTCTTTTCCTAAAATGAATCAGTCAAGTCTATAAACAGCCAACATCGTTCACAAATATTGTAGGCAACTGCTAGGAATGATGGACTGGGATTCCTGATGTAGACAAACAGCAGAACTAAGGATGTGTCCCTCAAAGTCTCCCCACTGCTCTCACATGCTGCAATTGAGACAAATGACAGAGATCTGATCACAGAATTGAGGGCAAATGTATTTGTTTCTGTATCTAGTACTCCCACTTGTCCTGTTCCCAGACTGGGTGTTTTACATCAATAACTACATCCTTCCTTTCTTTTTTTGGCACAGGTTGCTGCGCTGCCATCTGGCGTGCAACATGCCAGGGCTCAGAAGTGACAAACTGGGAATGCAGCTTCGTGCCCTCAATGAGTAAATTAAAATCTGTTTCAAATTACTCCATTGAACTTTGGAAGTCAAGCTTTTTCTAATGTACAGCTTGCTTGCTCTTCCTTCCTTCCTTCCTTCCTTCCTTCCTTCCTTCCTTCCTTCCTTCCTTTCTCTTTTTCTTTCTTTCTTTCCTTTGCCTATCATAATGCAAATGCTCTTTCCTTTCAGAAATGTCTATTCATTAAATATAGCCATTAAGAAAGCTCTAACTTGGCTTAAGTTCACCCTATTATTGATATGCTGCCCAGTAAAATTCCCGCAAAGCAGAGCAGAGTTGAGCTGACACAAGGTCCTGCCAGAAGCAGGGTGATTACTATTCAGAGTTTTCTAGGCCTTAACCGAATATGTGTATTTTTCATTCGCTTAGAATTATAATTTCTGCATACCCAGGTGGATTTCACTAATACCAGTATTCTTACACTAGGGTTTTTTCCAGTATATCTTTAGTTTCCATTAGAAATAAAAAATGAAATGGTAGAGAGGCCTGATTCATGCATACATGCTTGTCACCTGTTTGCTGTAAGTGTAATGAGTTAATAAGTCATGAGCACTATGCCCTGAACCAGTGTTTTTCAACCTTAGCAACTCTTAAGATGTGTGGACTTCAACTCCCAGAATTCCCCAGCCAACCATCTGGGAGGAATTCTGGGAGCTGAAGTCCACACATCTTAGAGTTGCCCAGGTTGAGAAACACTGCCCTGAACTATTGCTCTGCATCATCCTCTTATCACTGAAATTACACACACAGAATGATTCAGGTACATACTCAGTTCTCAAGTGATAACAATATAGCTAAACACATGCATAAACTAACTGCCAGAGTTTTGAAACTAGAACAGATACACTCAATAAATTATTACACTGGAAATATAATAGATCAGACAGTGCAGAATAGCAAGTAAGAGTGACCAGCGTGTTTCCCAGTAAATGAACATGTACCTCCCCTATAAAAGACTCAAGAAGCACCCCAGTTTAAAAGACATTATAGAAAAACTAAAGGACTGAGAACGAGTTAAAATTATTGTAACCTAATATGTGTCATGGCACATAGCATTAAAGAGCAAGACAATGAAATATGGATTATACCAAGGCAGATCCCTATTTAATCTAATCCTGTATTGTTCTTCTGGATCGGTACCAGTAGTCCCCAGTTTAAGAACAAGTTCCATTCCCAAGGTCTGTCCTTAAGTCGATTTGTATGTAAGCCGGAACAGCATTATTGTATAATAGTGTATTAAACAGTATTGTATAATGAACTTGAACCATTCTGTATTTAACTCCAGTCATTGTGTATTTAACTTGAATTTTGCTACAGTAGGCTCTGTTCTTAACTATGGGTTGTCCTTAAACCGGACGTTTTTAACCTGGGGACTATCTGTATTTGTATTTAACTCCAGTCATTGTGTATTTAACTTGAATTTTGCTACAGTAGGCTCTGTTCTTAACTATGGGTTGTCCTTAAACCGGACGTTTTTAACCTGGGGACTATCTGTATTTGGCTCAGCTGGGTTTCAGACAAAGGTTTTTCAATCCCACCAGAAGACCTTCTGCTTTATTCACACCACATACAAATAAACTAAATTTAATATGCAGTTGCTGTTTAATTGGCCTTGGAAAGTAATCCTGCACTCATTTTCCCCACTCAAAATAGCAACAATACATTATAAGGACAAAGGGCAAATTACCTCAGAAGCTTTCTGTTTCATTTCTTTGCATACCGCGTCACATTCTAAGAAAAACTGGCCTTCACGAACTTTATTGCACAAAAGTTCCTAGAAGCAAAATTCAAATGAAAAATAAAATCCTTACTTTCCCCCCTAAAATTCTGAGTATTATGTTACGTGCTACAAACAGAGAATGTTCAAAACAATCTAACAGTTTTATTCTCCCAATGAACGAAGTACAAGTTGCTCTGAGTTACTTGATTAAATATAAATTGGAGGGAGGGAGGGAGGGAGGGAGGGAGGAGTATCCTACTGCATTCATCTGCTGGCTGGCTGGATGTCACCATCCCCCTTCTTCTTTGTACCTCCCACATCCTTCCGAACTCTGCTAGCAAGTGGGGAGATTTGCGGAGGAGCAGAGGGTGGAATAAAGGGATCTGACGATCCACCCACCCAATGCTAGATCATCAGAAGGTGCACTTATATTATAAGATACGTGTGTGACAAATTCTTTCATAAGGAGAACCCATGCATGGGACAAATAACTAATGAACATGTAGGGCAGGGCTTAAGGGGAAAAACAACAGACGTCTCCCAGGCATTAAAGGACCCAACCAGCGTTCTTCTTACGAGAAGAGGAGAATGGCAACCAACGTTAGTCCAGAATGGTTTGTAGCTCACACCAAAAAGTCACACATAGGAGTGTCTGCAGGATGTGATAAAAGTAGCCAGGAGAGTGGCTGCAACAGTGCGATCAAAGCTCTGCTTGTTTTGTGTGCAACGTTAATGTTTTTCAAAGTTAATTGAGGTGGACAGATCAATACTGTAAGTCTAATTCTCCTTCAGAAATTATCTATTACAATTATTTGCCGTACCAATGGCTGAAAAATCTATCTGCCAGTTTCTATCTTGCTATATTTTAGTCTCAAAATAAGTTTTAATTCTGAAATGTACTTTCTACTGTTATTCATATCATGATAATGCAGATGCCAAAATGGTCATCACTGCTGTTAGATTAAATTTAATTACTACATCCATCCATTTTATATTATCTTGCTTGTGTTTTATTTGTTTATTGTATTATTTTTTAAATTTTGCTGCATTTTATATTGTACTGAATATATTGTTACGTTGTTCACTACCTGGCAATGTTCTGGCAAATAGTCAACATATACATTACACCAAGAAACACATATAACACAATCCTACATTTCACCAGGTACTGAACATCCGTTTTCATTCATGTCACTTAGTAATAAATGAAATTAAGTTAAGCATCACTGGCATTTAATTGGATTGTTTTAGATGGGCATTCAAGTCACATTAAGAGCCTATAGGTCAGAAAACGAGTATAAATAAAAAACAGTTTCCCAAAATGAATTCCTCATCACTCATTTCTTAATTTGATATTCAATAAATATTCAAAATATTTATTATTCAAACTATTCAATAAATATTTTCCCCTAGGAAAAATACCTCTGCGCCATGTTGACTATTCTCATAATAATAGTAATAAAAATACCCAGCCGAATTCACACATACTGATGTTCCCCAATTAACAAAGGCTGAAATGGGAATAAATAACAAAATGTGACTTTCCTTTCTCCTCCGTGCACACTGGACATCAAAGGAGACACCAGTTTGTTAGATCAGTTTCCCATGATGCCCAAAAGTCTCCTCCTATTTGTGTACACACTGGGAAAAACAGTACATTTGAATTTGTCTCTGCTCTGTGACTTGTAAGACCAGGAATACTGTACCTCAGGAAGGCTTCCCAAGCCAGCCTGTAATTAACCCCATCCGTTAACAGCATGGTTAAAAAATATTGGCTTTCTTTTTCTGCATTGTTTTAGTAGCTTACCAATTTTTATTTTTACAGATAAACCTGTTGGTGTGGCAGCTTCTTAAGCAGGCATCTACATGGTAGACTTTTCACAAGTAAGGGCACAGTAATTTAAAGATTACTGCTCCAGGCCAAAGACCCAGGGGGGTTCTAATGGGTCGCTGTTCTACATAAGATGGGTTCATGGATCACTAGGTAACCTGGGGTCAGTTAGTCTCTCAGCCATACCTCCTTCACTTGGCTGCTATGTGAAAGAAAAATGGAGAAGGATCACTATGTATAGAATCTGAATCTCCTGAAAAACCACAAAATAAACATACACCTGTAAATAAATAAATACATGTCAAAGAAGGCTGCATTTTCACTTGACTGTTTCTGAAGAGCAAAGATTTTGCTTGCCTTTTCTCACGCAAAAACACTGGAATTATACAGGACATTGGTTTATAACCCAGGCAACTGCTTGACTCTCAGAAGTGGGCTGCCTGGCCAATTTCAGAGTATCCTATTGGCATAATTAGTAGCATTCAAGGAAATAAAATCACAATTCTTTTGTGGGTAACTGGGCAGATATTCCAGTTGATCTCTGTCACTAAGTGGAATTTAACCTACTGCTGTTCTTCTTCTATCTGGCCAGCATGTCATCACCAGTCTAAAATATTCAAATCCAGCCGTATCCAACCGATTAAATGGGAAAATTACTCATACTTAAATTCAGTTCCACATTAACTATGCCATAAATATCGTAGGGCTTAAAGACTGACTTTCTAGCGTCACTATTTCAAGAGCATCCACAATATGTTATCTAAGTCTTGAACTAAGCAGCCAAAAACATACAAAGAAGAGCTTGAAGGAAGGAGTTTTGGAAATTCTCTCTAATCAAGGATGACAAGAAAAAAGAAAAAAAAAAAAAGCACACATAAGATTAAAAAAATAATAATAAGACCCATCTTGTAAGTTGCACTTAAATGTGTATGCCACTCAGAGTCACTGGGAGTTGAGTGGCATATACATTTAATTTATTATTATTATTATTATTATTATTATTATTATTATTATTATTATTATTATTATCCT